CCATACCATTGAGCCATGGCAGTTAAAGTGGTGTCAAACATTCATTCTACAATGTATTTGAATCCTTAAGCTATTGAATAAAGGGAAACGAAGAGAACCCACATAACCGAATTTTTCTACTCACAGAATATCATCTGCTGGGTCAAAGAGATAGAACTGAACCATGTCTCTATTCCACTGATTATAGAATTCTGTGTCATTTTGGGAGGATTATGATGTTTTGTCTCTGTGTCCCCAGGGTTAATGCGTCAACTGGCAGGAGCAGGTCATCATCAGAACACCTTGTGAGCAATGCGCAGAACCTAATCCATGTGGCTCTTCAGATGTTAAAGATGGCAGAAGTAGCTTGTGTCAAAGTAAGTCACAAAGAGCATCCCCAAGTTGTATTATAAAGCACATTTCAGTGGGTAGTATGATGAGGTTTTCCTTGGCTTTGCGCTGGAGGCGGCATCCAGCATGGTGGCCATAGTCCTTGCGCATAGACATCTCAAGAGTGCTGTGATTGACTGTTTCTGCATGGCAGGAGGTTGGACTGGATGACCCTTGTGGTCTCTTCCAACTCTATAATTGGCCAATGGGGTTTTTGCCTGCATCAATAGGAGTTTAGTGTCTAGAGCCAGGGAAGTCATGCTACCCCTCTATTCTGCCTTAGTCACACCACACTGTGTCCAATTTTGGGCACCACAATTGAAGAGAGATATTGACAAGCTGAAATGTGTCCAGAGGAGGGCGACTAAAATGATCAAGGGTCTGGAGAACAAGCCCTATGAGGAGAGGCTTAAAGAGTTGGGCATATTTAGTCTGCAGAAGAGAAGGCTGAGAGGAGATATAATGAGGGCCATGTATAAATATGTGAGGGGAAGTCATAGGGAGGAGGGAGCAAGCTTGTTTTCTGCTGCCCTGGAGACTATGATTCAGAGCAATGGCTTCAAACTACAGGAAAGAAAATTCCACCTGAACATTAGGAAGAACTTCCTGACTGTGAGAGCCGTTCAGCAGTGGAACTCTCTGCCCCAGAGTGTGGTAGAGGCTCCTTTTTTGGAAGCTGTTTGATAGTGGAATATGCTACATTGGAGGGCGATGGATTCTCCTTCTTTGAAAGTTTTTAAACAGAAACTGAATGGTCATCTGTCAAGAGTGCTTTGTTTGTTTGTTTCTGCATGGCAGGAGGTTGGACTGGATGACCCTTGTGGTCTCTTCCAACTCTAGGATTCCATGATTCCATCCTTTCCTTGCAGATTTGGGGGGGGGGGCAGTGAAAGGAATACTGGGAGTGTTCATCCTCCTCCAGTCTGGAAAGTCATACCTGAATTCACATGAAGAGGGTGGCATATCCTCAGAAATTCCTGTGGATGGGAAAATTGCTTCCTGAAATTGCCAATCACAGTTTTCTTCCAAGTTAGCTTGTATGTATGCATTCAAATCGGAATTCTGCAGAATTCTGGGCAGAGTTCTCGGCGTTGTAGTTTAGGGAGGAGCCTTTAACAGCCTCACTAAACTATAAACCCCAGAATTCTGCAGGAGGCAGAAAACAGATTTTAAGTGGATTGATCTTGTTTAACTTCCAAGATCAGAAAGAATGTTACCTTTAGGGTATTTCGTCCCTTTCAGGTTAATTTACTTTGAATATAAAAATATAGGTGCTTAGAAACATGATAAATCTCATTTATTTCCTTGATGCTTCATTCTTGGTGCATTATTTTGGCACAAAGAAATATTGTTTTCTTTTGCATACTATGCTGAGCATATTCATAAATCCATTTGTCACAAACTGCTATACTGGAGCGCTGTCACTCTTCTTTTGCTTCCCCCCTTGCAGGGTTCGCAACAGGCACCCCCAGACTCAGAAGAAGCTGATGTGGCTGCATTTTGCAGCCAATGGAGGAAATGCCTTTGGTGGCACAGATTCAAGGAATCCTTGAACTCCGAAAGAGATGAATTGGGACTGCGCAAAACTGCATCTTGGCCTGAGCCTACCTTCACATCCATGGCCCAAGAGCTCTCTGCTCCATAGTCATATTCCAGTCCTGCTTAAAGAACTATTGACAACTATTGGAGATAGATAGGAAATAAACCCTTAAGCAAAATGGTCACCAAATTGGGCTAGGCAACCTAATACTTTCCAGATGTTTTAGATTACAGGACTCCATAATCCATTGGCCAGGGCTGGATAAGACTAGTGGGAAATATATATATATCTAGATTAAATTGGACTATTTAACTGTGAGTTATGAAAATATAGTTTCCAAAGAAAGCCTACAGATGTAGGACTAAATGTCCTGACTGTGAGAGCTGTTCAGCAGTGGAACTCTCTGCCCCGGAGTGTGGTGGAGGCTCCAATACTCTTTGCTTCTGTCTTTGCTCTGCTTGTATCTCTCTGGAGTTACTTCTTTCCTAAACCTTTTTGACTTTTCATGATAGGGGCTCCTGGTGGTTAAACCTTTGTGCTGGCAGGACTGCTGAGTCCAGGGAGTGGGGTGAGCTTCCACCCGTCAGCTCCAGCTTCTCATGCAGGGACATGAGAGAAGTCTCACACAAGGATGGAAAGACATCCAGGCATTCCCTGGGCAACGTCCTTGCAGATGGTCAAGTTTCTCACACCAGAAGCAACTTGTGGTTTCTCAAGTCACTCCTGACACACACCCAGAAAAACCCCCTCATGATCACCAATGTTTATGCCCACAGGCCAGAAGCCTTTTGGTATCTTGTGCAGGTGTATTTTCCCTTGATGTGTAACATACTGGAAATGGATGGATATTGTTGTTGCTCTCCAATGTGCAATTTCAATGCCGAGTTCAAAATTATACAAATCCGGAAGGCAAGCACTATGAGGAGCAGTTTAGTGAGCTGGGCATGTTTTTCACATGGAGAAGAAAGGTTAAGAGAAGACATGATGGCCATGTTTAAATATTTGGAGGGATGGCATGTTGAAGATGGAGCAGGCTTGTTTTCTGCTGGTCTACAAACTAGGGCATCGAGCAAAGGATTCCAACTACAGGAAAAGAGTCTATTCGAATACTTGGAAGAATTTTGTGTTGGCAAGAGCTATTTTGCCTGGGAGTGTGGTGGAGTCTCATTTGGAGGTTTTCAGTCACAGGCTGGAATGCCATCTGTTAGAAATGCTTTGGTTGAGTACTCCTTTACGGTTGAATGGGATTGGATGGCCCTTGGGGTCTCCCCCAAATCTATGGTTCCAAGTGGAGTTCTGCACGTAGCTTTTCATTCATTGCTCTTCCTTGTGCTTTATACTGCCAGACTTGAGGCACCAAAGCAAACTGAATTAAAGAATAAAATACAAAGAGCAGAGTGAGCAATAATCGACTGAACGGCTGAGAACACCTTGTGTTAGTGTCGAATTAAAACATGTGGTAGCCCTTAAGGGATGATGTTCACTGAATTAGGCCCCTTCAACAGTGCTCTATATCCCAGGATCTGATCCCAGATTATCTGCTCTAAACTGGATTATATGAGTCTCCACTACCAGATAATCTGGGATCAGATCCTGGGATAAGGGGCAATTTAGAAGAGGCCATAGGCTGGATCTACACTGCTATATAAAATCCAATTATCTCCTTTAAACTGGATTATATGGCAGTGTAGACTCATATAATCCAGTTCAAAGCAGATAAAATGGTTATCTGCTTTGATAGCCTGGATTATATGGCAGTGTAGGATCACCCAATTCACCAAAGTCTCCAATGGCACCTTGAGCAAATGTATGATAGTAGAGCTCATAGTTCTAATGGATGTCCCGTCTAAGAAAAGATCATTATTCTTACCTTTTTTTATAACGAGGCTGTTATGGCAGAGAATTGTGATAAATGGAACCCATTCTTCCTCAAAAATCCAACCCTTACTTCACCTTTCCCTAGGATTAAATAGGGATTTCCAGGAGTAAACTGGATGGTTTATTTGATAGATACTTTTGGGGAATGCATGTTTAATTTTGCTCTTTGAAACCCCTCTTTAGTGCCATCTAGTGGCCTGTTAGTTAAACTTAAAAGTAACCCAAAACAAGACCACATTTGGGAAGGCCTGAGCATGTTGCCCTTTTACCTGAAATAACATCCCTATAGATGGAGAGTTTTGGCATTCAGAAAGAGGTTGCTCTGGCCTCCAACTACGCCAAGTGACTTTGGAGATACACATTGGGAAGAGTCAAGTAATTCCCTCTACCTCTGGCTTAATCCTAAAGTGATAATTGTTTCTTTTGCCTAATACCTCTGACTGGCTGCACATCCTTCTTTCCACATTTTCAACTATAGATTAGAACAAATTCTATAGTACTTTGCGGCTTTAAAGCTTTTCAATTTTGATTATTTATAAGTCAAGAGAAAGATAGTGGGTTTTTGTGTGTTTTCTAGGCTGTATGGCCATGTTCCAGAAGCATTTTCTCCTGACAGTTTGCCTGCATCTACGGCAGGCATCCTCAGAGGTTGTGAGGAGATATATGGAAGTCTGTAAATACTGCAGATTTAAATCTAGAAGCACACCAGGATATTGTTCATGCTTCAATAGGACTGTTGGACAGAACTGGAAGAAATGACCAAGTACTTCTGGGAAGAAACAAACAAGGGAAAATGCATATATAAGGTATCCAGCACTACCCTTCCATTAAAGGAAAGGGGAATAAATTTTCATTATTCCTTTTTTTTAAAACAGCTATTGTGCTCTCAAGGTTGATAGGCATTCTGTGATATTGTGGAAATTGGAAAGGTCTACAACAGGAGAAAAAGGGAATTTGCAATGCAATTATTATTTTTTTAAAAAAAGCTACTTCTCTTTTCCTTTCTATTTACAAAACTGCAACACATAGGCCTGTTGTTACTCTCAACTTGAATCAATGGGCTTTCCCTATCTGTTGACTTGCCATGCAACACTTGATTTAGTGGAGCTACTCTAGATGAGGATGAGACTAAACCAAGAGACTCCAGCTACACTCCGCAATGCAAATTTTCCAGCTAAGTAGTCCAACGTTCTACTCGAGTCTATAAAAAAAGTCAAGAGATTTTCACTCTTTAATTTGTTAAAAATGTCAGACACATGAATACATGTTACCATCATTACATCAATACAAAAAGCAATACAAATTAAGCAGCTGGATACAAAAATACACTGAATACATGAACACCACAATGGGACACGACACTAATTGAGAACAGTGTATACATGAAAAAAGTAAATGCATTTTTACATGTAATGTGTATGTGATTTCTACTCTAACAGTAATGTTTTAGTTATTTCCTTTGCAATATCTTCTATATACAGCATAGAATAAAATACTTTAAAAAGTTGTTTCTTCTCCTTAATATGCAATACAATATCTTTTAGCCTAACAGAATCAGACTACTGAATAAAAATGATACTTCGTTTCAACTGCTCTGAAAGGATCAATTTTTAAATCTGCTTATTTAGTAGGATTTCATACACTTAATAACGGTCATCTTAAATACTGTCTCTCACAGTACTGTACATTATATTGCTTAAACCTGTACAATCATACAAAAGTGGCAAACATTCGCTAAATGGTAATTTTGAAAAGACACATTACACATATACAAGTCGTCGAAGTCAGTCCTCAGTGATGTCTATTTACAATGAAAGTGCTTCTTTCAGATCTAACATGATATACGTCTTACAAAATGATTAATCTCCCTCAAAATGGGAAAATTATGCGGAAAATACCAACTTGGCAAACACTATAGCATACTGGATTACTGCATGTGGTTCCGAAAATAGCAGCCCGAAAGTGTTTCTGTTTATAATTTAAAAATAAATAAAGCACAGAGGTAAACCAGTTACAAAACGGCAGAAACCTGCATTATCCATAATGGGGAAAGTCTTAGTAAACAAGTATCTAACAAAAAGGTGAAGCAGTGGGGTCGAAAGTCTTGAAGACCTCTTTCAGGGATTTGTCATCCGAATCCCCACTGGGGTCGTTCTCTGGGGCTTGGCTGGTCTGCCCAGGCTGCCTTGCCTGCTTCTGATCACTGTACTGTGGTCTGATCAACCCTGACAGAGCCTGGATGGGAAGGTTGTGCACGGCGGGTGCAGAACTGGAGCGTTTAGCTGGGGACTTCCTGGCGCAACCCACTTTATCCAGACTGGCTTCTCCAAATCCTTCCAGATTCTTTTCCACCTGTGGAGATGGTTTTGGAAGCAACTGTTCTTCTGATACAGTAGTTTCACTTTGGCTAGAGTTTTTCAAAATACCCTTTTTCTGGTTCTCTCCATTTTCCCCTGAATTAATTAGAGGGGGGTCTAATGACGTTTGATTTCTTGGATCATACAAACTGATGCCACTCAGTATTGAGCTAGGAGTGCCCAGACGTGTGCCAGAGGATAACTTGGGTGCGTATGGAGGCAACATGTCTGGATCAGTCTGAGAGGTTGCCGCTTCTGAGGACTGTGATGTCCCACCGCTGGATTTAGCCAACCTAGGATCAGGTTTAGGAGGCAAAAGGTCTTTTGGTGTCCCGTGGTGGGTGTCTGTACTGGAAGATCTATGGATTCTGGGATCAATGGTCTTCTGCAAGCGAGGATCTCCTAATTTACCAGGATGTGAATCTCCAGGTTGGTCCAGGGAAATACTCCTGCTTGCCAAATTTGTATTTTTTGCTTTCGCCACTAATCGTGGGTCAGCTGGAACTGCAATCGGAATGGAATCATTTTTGATATTCCTTAATTGATTAAATCTCTGGTCAGCTATGAGTGGAGGAAGAGGTAAATTGATGGAAGATACTGGGTCTTGTTTGGGCAAAGGTACTGGAAGTAAATCTTCAGGAGCCCAAACAATATGTTTCGCAAAGTTGGGTTTGTTCAGAACGATGTCCATTTTAATATGGCTAAACTGCCGAAGTTGAGACCTTGGATCCCGCAATGTTACTCCAGGAAGAGGGTCTAATGGTATCAAAAAAGGTCTCTCTCTCAGTTCTCGTTCTGTTTCCTCATCATCTTCATCCACTCCTTTCTGCATGATTTTGACACTAGGATGCGTATGATGCAAGTCCATCTTAGCTCCACTTGCTGATGAGCTCACATGACTACTTTCATTAACTTTTAACGTCCTAGGATCTCGGGAGAGCCTTGGGTCCAAAACTGCTGAATCGGATGCTTTTCGAGCATTGGATCTTGAGGTGGACCTAAGCCTGGGATCAGCGGCCTGAATTCCTGGGACTCGCTCCTTAGCAAGTCTTGGGTCAGTTGGCACAACACTCAGCTGCTGGTCTGCCAAATGCTGTTGATTTCTGAATGTCTCACTTTGTTTCTTTAAGGTCTTCAGTATTGATTTAACACTGCTTCCTTCTTCCTCTTCACTACTTGAGTACCAATTCACATTATCATCTAGAAAGATAAAAAACAACATCATGCATATTTCAATAGCCATGTTTTTCCTAACCCAAGAATCCCAAAATGGAATTTCTCAGTGATATCTGGGTATCTTTAAATAAAACTAAATTACATGAAAGAGGACATTTCTTGATTTCCTATTTGAATATTGGAAGAGATGTCTCCAAATGCAAATTGGCTGTAATATCTTAGATCAGCAAAAATCAACCATAAAACCAAATGTTAAATGCCAGATAGAGGTGAAAACACATGAATTAACGTAATTAGCCAGATTACATCTGCAGATTTTAGTGGACATATTTTTTATCACAATCAACAAATCTGAGTATAAGTGTCTGTAAGTAGCAACTGCTGGAGTATGAATGAATCACTGTCCAAACTGAAAAAGGCACTATATAAACAAGGTAAATATTTCAGGGAGATGAAAAACAGATAATTCACAAGAACGTTAACTGGCTTCATGTGTGTTTTCTTTTTATCTGTTTGGAAGGATGATGCTGACAAAGGTCAGATTTGATTTGTGGAATTGTCTTCAACTGTCTTCCAAACTACAAGAATGAATGTCCATGGGTCCGAAGTTGAGATATAGTCACTCTGGATCTTCCTGACCCAGAGGTTCTATTTTGTACCCATAAGAACACATGAAGAACTATGATGGATAAATACTAAAGTTCTCCCTAGTTCAAAATTCTGTTTGCATACTGTCCATGCAGTGTATGACATCAGGACAGTTCAACTGCAAAATGCCAAGAAATCATAAAACACTTTCTACAGGGCTAATGAAGTCCTTTGAAGATAAGACAACACTGTGATGTGATTATTATGCTTTAAAGAAAGCTCATTGCATTAAAATTCTCCAACAGCTACTTCGATACATATGTGTAATTAAGTAGCTCCTGGTCCAACGTCCTGCAGCCCACCTTGTGAACCACTAGCTGGATCAGATATCTGTTCAGTTGCCAATCGGAGCACAAGGAAATTGACATTTCCAATCTGCTCCCACCAGCAAACGGGGCTGAGGCGAGGAGTTGTGATGGGGTCCTACTTCTGTTTGCCTAGCCCTGCTTGCTGGTGGGAGTGGGCTGGAAAATATCCACTTTGTGCCTCAGTTAACACCTGGACAGAGCTCCCTTATCTGATCCATCACCTGGCTGTTAAGGTACAGAGTTACATAATCTTATAGTAAAACTATGCAGTGTTATTGAATACAGAGCAACTACAAATACACAACTCTTGATGACCAATCTGTAAGGGCAATACTGAAAATATCCATGTTTAAAAGGACCTTAATTCTTAACATGATACCAGGCATTTTTTGTTTGTTTAAAACACTACAACTACATTTTCATTTTATTGTTTTGTGGCTTTTTTTTTACACAAAGTATTACAACTAGACCACAAAGTGGGAATAATATTTTTAATTTCCTTTCTTTCTTCATGTCAATCAAGTCTTTTCTGATATTTTGTTTCACCTTGTGTTTAAAAGCAAGCATATCTGTGTTCTCTTCTTGGGAAAAGCTGGATGACGGATTTAAGTAACATGGCTGCTACTTTATTGAAATCTTTTGTTTATATAGATCACTATTAATAAGGAGACATCCAAGAAGTTTTGTACGTTTTCACATAATGTTAGACTCAGTGGGATCTCAATATTTAATTCCATACAATTCAATATTTACTATGACTTCATTAAGTAATATAATTAAGCTTTAATATTTTATTATTGTCTTTAATATTTCTCACATGGATTCTGACTCAACCGTTATTCAATCATTATCATCATCACTATCACTACAATATTCAATATTTCTCTTGTTTTTATAAACATTACTTTCAACATTTTTTTTGATGATTTCAGTAATTGCTTAATTGGTTTTGTTTTTAGATGTAGTTGCACATCCAACCGTCACTCTCTAGAAGTTCAATGTAACAAAATGCTAAAAAGAACTTGTTTTTCAAAGTTAGGTATTACTTGCAATGCCTGGACAGGAAGAAAGGATAAAACTAGACACTCTAGCTCAGCATTATGCTGCTGTGAGAGAAGGAAGCCACTTCATTTTTTTGTATTAGATCCATGAAGAATCTCTCTTTAAATGTATCCAATGGTCAAAAGAACGCTATTCTGTCAGTGTATTTGCCATCACAACCCTTCTTCCTAGGAAGATATCCCTTCTGCTGACTTGTATAAATGCAGGTTAAATAAAAAGAATAATTCATTGTTTTTTAAAATCTCTGAATTAGTATCAGGATTAGACAGGCTGTAATAATAAAATAATATAGGTCATACATAATAATAAAATAATATAGGGCATATGGATTACTTTGGAGAAATACGTACTTTAGTAGTGAGGTGGAATGATGCTGCTGCCTAATCACTATAATAAAATTAACAGGACCAATTTGGAGCTGATTTTGCAGTGTGACACAGAACATTGACAACTACTTGAAAAGACAATTTTTACATATGGACAGAATGTTACACAACATTTTATTTTTAAAATGCAGAGTCTGACAATACCTTCTTCTCTACTCAATGACCTTTGACAACGATTGCTCATTTGTTCTCCATCATCTTGTTGTTTTTGACTGAGCCTAACGAAAAGGGCCTTCTGCATTGCAGGAAGGAAGTCTGGTACATTAATAGCTGAATTGTGTCCTGTTGCAGGGGCACAATCTAATTCGTACTCATTTCCACTGTTATGTGAAGAAGTGTGGTGAAGCTGGTGATCTGTGAATTCTCCTTTCCATGTACCATCTGTATTTAATATTACAAATAATCAGTATTAATGCTGAATGCATGCTAAAATAACTTTCTAAGTTCCTTATAAGTAAATTGCCTCAGTGCTATCACGTGTAATCAAGAAACATAATTCAACGTGATAAAAGAGGTGGGAGTATGCTATAATAAGTTTAATGCTCAGTGGCTATAATCACCAGGGGCAGGTAGCAAATTTACCTTACACCTCAGTAGCATCCTTAAGTGCACTCTTTAGTTTCTCTAAGACAAAGTCATTTGAAATGAACAGGTTGCTTACCTTTAACTGCCTTTCTTCGAGTGCTCACCTGTGAAATTTGCATATATAGGTTCTTCCATGCATGCACAAAGCAGTTAGGAATTCTTTAGGTCTAAGTGAAACATTTTGGCGGTAGCCCCACCCACTCTCCCTGTGATAATCTATATGCCAGTCAGAGGGTTTTAAGCCTCAGTTCCTCAGACGATAGGTAAGCAGCTATAGACATCGAGGCATGACCAGCAGTGGGGAGGATGGGTGGGGATGTGCAAATTACACAGATGACCACTCGAAGAAACACAGTTACAGATAAGCAACCTGTTCTTCTTTGTTGTCTCTGTGAAAATGCACATTTGGGTGACTAGCAACCTACTGACTTTGGAGGTGGGAGTCATGCCACAAAGGAGAAGAGCATGGCTCTGTCAAAAATAACATCTTTCCTATATAGGATGCCCACTTTGTAGTAGTGGGAGACAAATGTGAGTGGTGTGGACCACATTGCTGCCCGGCAAGATGTTCTCCAAAGGTACGTCATGCAGGAAAGCCTGCGAAGCAGCAAACCACCCTTCTAACGGCTTCTAACTTGGGGTGGAAGGTTTTGACCTGCAAGCCAGTAGGCAAGACAGGTCATGACATTAATCCACGAGGAGAACCCCTGTGACAATACCGGAAGAGCATCTTGGCGATATTTGAGGAAGAGCCTAGGAGACTTCCTGTGTTTGCAAGTTCTGTGGATGTAAAAGACCAGAGCCCTTCTGACATCTAGTGTGTAGGGGACCAATTCAAGAGAAGTCGGATTCTGAAAGAATGCTTGAAAGGTAATCTTGGCACATTTGGAAATGAGAGACCACTTTAGGCGGGAAGGTAACATCTATGCAGAGAACTACTTTGTCTCTATAGAAGCAGAGATATGGTTCATCAACCCCTAGGACACCAAGTTCACTAACATGTCTTACCACAGTAATCATGACAAGAAAGGCGGTCTTCCAAGAAAGGTAAGGAAGTTCTGTCAAAGCCAATGGCTCAAAGTGGAGTTTGGGTAGCTGACATAGGACCAATTCCAAACTTCAGATGCTGGAAGCTTTTTACGCTGGGTGATTGGTGCTCATACAGGAGCATGCTTGGGGGGTAACCGCCTGGCAGATGTGGCAGGACTGTACTATGCGAGTTTCCCCAAGGCACAGTAGGCACATGGAGTGGCCATCAGTATCTGGGAGCTTCCCTCCGCAAGTTGCACACTTCTATAAAAAGTAGAAGACATCCTGATAAACGAGCAAGGGGAAAATCAACTGGCCTGGTCCACTGTGTAGGGCAGAAGAGTAGTTGGAGAGTGTAGTCAAGTTAAAGTTGGTAAATAACAGTCCCAATTGTTTAGCAAGAGAGTAGTTAGGGAACCTATCCAAGTCAAAATGGTAAAGAGGGTGCTAGCTGAACTGAGAACAAGAACTAAGGGAAAGCTGCTAAGATGCGGCAGACAAAAGAACAGAGGCTCAAGCCCCTCTCACTAGCATATACACTAACTCGGGGAGAGTGGACGAGGCTACCGCCAAAATGTTTGATTTAAAGCTTATAGAGATTGCCATATGTGCAATTTCACAGAGAACACGAAGAAGGAAGCGCCCCTCTTAGGTAGAATGGTGAGTAACTAGTTTTCCTCCCAAATGTGAAGATGTGGGGTAGATAAAGATTATCCTAGCACCTTTGGGGTTATCTTCCCAGGTCCACACTTGGAAGAAGGGTTGACTGGAATGGAAGCTACACAACCAGAGATGAACAAGCAATCCCCATGACTAGCCTCTTTTGTGAAACATCAACATCCAAGTTGACATTTATCCCTCCATAACAACTGGATGTATGTTTTGGATTTCCTTGGAGCTTCAGACCTTACAAAAAGGTATCCGATACTTGCTAGGTGAAAAGTTTCTGTGTGTGGGAGAGACTAGTCTGGTTAAACATGGGACAGCAACTGATTTTCTCTTGACCAGGGTGTATTCAAAGAATAGTTTCCACTGGCATATGCTCTTATATGAAAACTTAAGTAGTTTGGAATGAGATGTATTTACAGCAGAAGATAACCCATTCTTTATACTTGGTCCATAACCCGCTAGTAGAATGTCACAGGAAGAATGCATTTTGCATATAGAGTACATAGAGATAATACAACATTTCTAGGGTTCCATGCAGGAGGTATGTCCGCCTTTCACAAATGACTGAACTGTGAAAATACTTTTTAAAATCTTCAATAAGCACAGGGGATTGTCACATTTCAACTCTTCACTGCATATATGCTTACCACTCAGGATAAAATGTATATATTGAATATTGAAACTTACCACCAACATTTGTGGTTGCCTGGAAGTTGTGTACCGCCTGATGTGAATAATAATTGTCATAGAAACTGGCTGGATTCTGAAGAGGCTCATAACCGGTGTTTGGTTTTCGTTCACTAGCAAGCTGCTGATACGGTGGACCAGGTGCACAGTGACCGTCTCTGGGCATGGTCGCTATATGTTCTTGAGCACTAGCACAGCCATAGGATGCTCCAGGTGATGTTAAAGGTGGACCACCTTGCTGTCCATGAACAGATCCACCAACTGGACCCTGTGGCCCCAAGTAACCTGGAGGGCCTGGCTGCAAAGGAGGGCTCTGTGGCACTGCTGGACCTGCACAAGGATGCCCAGGAGAATTTGAAAGTCCTGACAATCCATTATGTCCTGGGCTTGACTCTGCATTGTACACATTGTCTCCTTCAAATTCTGGTCCCGGTGGTGATGTGCTATTATAGAAGGATGGTGGACTGAAAAACAAAACGTTGAATCAATATCATTTATGTATAAACATTAAATTCACATACACCACATTCAACAATTGAGTCTAGTGTCTCTTAGAAAAAGCTACCACATGATCTGTAGTTTTATTAATTTTTGTTTACTGAAAACTAGGTGACTGCACGGACTACCAATTATTTTGGCAGCTATCCTCTCTGAACATGGCAACACAGAATACAAATTGCAGGAAAATATTATGATACATCCCAGTAACCCTGTAAAGAATGTCATATAATGTTTTATTTAGAGGATTTAAAATGGATTGAAGTAACTCGGCAATTTTTAAAAAGCAAAATATAATTAGATATTAAAAACAAGTCAAATAGATAATTACTGAATGAACATTTTGCTAAATTTGTAGTTCAATCAGGGTACCACATCTACATAAGGTTAAGTACACATTTTAACTTCATTTTCTTAAAATCTTAAAATAGTCATGTTCCATCCTGCTGTACTTAAAGGTGTACCCATTTCCCTCTTCTTTTGTAAAAATAGCTTTCTATTTGGCAGATGTGTCGTTCACTGCTATAGAAAATACAGACAAAGAAATAGGGAACACAGAAGAATGAGTGGCACCCACCTGGGCAATAAGGTTGAGCAAACATCTTATAACAGGGTTGTTGTGAGTTTTCCAGGCTGTATGGTCATGTTCCAGAAGCATTCTCTCCTGACGTTTTGCCTGCATCTGCGACAGGCATCCTCAGAGGTTGTAACCTCACAACCTCTGAAGATGGCTGCTATAGATGCAGGTGAAATGCCAGGAGAGAATGCTTCTGGAACATGGCCACCCAGCCTGGAAAACCCACAACAGCCCAGTGATTCCGGTCATGAAAGCCTTCGACAATACATCTTGTAACACCAGACGTAAGCTACTCAGAAGGCCATCAATGTTCTGCACTTTTTGGCTCCATTAAAACCTGGTATGCAATTTCCATAAGTCTAAGACTTACGTTTTCCCAATTTTGTGTGCTAAATCCACAGTTGGCTTCACAACTATCTCAAAGAGAGATGGGATTTTCTTGAATTCACCAGAGGGATCCTGAAAGTCTTCTGCATCTTCCTCAGTAAAGGAATATGGTTCTGGTGGAGTTGGCAAAAGTCCAACTCCTGGGGGTGGTTTAGGAAGAGGCACTATGCCACGCTTCCTAAGTTCTTCAACTTCTTTCTCATCATCATTTTGTGGCTCCTCCTCATTATTTAAAACCTAGAATACACAGAAAAATATTACAGTCTTTAAGTTATCCAAATTTTCTAAATTTCTTTTGCAGCCATTATATAATCCTACCACATGTTTACTTAATGGTATTCTGACATCCCTTATTCTAAAGGCTTAGGTTATGGAAGAATCCAGGTTTAGAATAAAATACAAGTAGACATACACTACAGTTAATTACAAAATTATTTGAAGCTCCCTATCAAAACCAGTTTATGAAGACCTAGACATGCTTTAGACAAAGTATATTCTAAGTCCATAGATCAAACAGACCACAATCTAAAATGCAAATTCTTGTTTCTAAAAATGGTCAACTCACACTCAGAGATAAAAAGAAGGGGGGGAGGGGATTTCTCAATAGGAAACAATTATTTAATTGGTTTCATATATAGATTGAGTTTAATCTCATTCACCACTTTCATCATGACAAAAAATGATCCTCTTGAACACAAAGTTAGAAAGGAAATTACTTCATCCTTCCAGATTTCTTCTGAAGCATGAGGTTTGCTTCAGCTTCACACTTGTTAAATGCGCAACTATCACTATTTTCTGTCTCCCTCCTCCAGCACAGAGGAGACATGAAAAGAAGACAAATGTGTTTGTTTCTGTATTCAATGTATGCACCTCAGAAAAGCTAACATGCCCACCCAGAGCCTTTTTATTTCAGGGCTAGAGATGAAAACTTCTGACAAGTTATATGAATGTCTACTGGACACAAACCAGGAGCAACTTAATTCAATTACCATTGGTATGCACAGAGAAAAAAAACACTAGAGAATGTCTTCCCCATCTGTCCTCATGCTCAAGTGGTAGTGGGAGGCCTAATGTGCATAGCTATGCTTTCATCTCTAATAAGGGCTCTTGGATAGGAGTGTCCTCTTCATACAGAAATAAAACAAATGTCAGAAGGAGATGTACTCACCTTATCAAGTAGTTCTTTAGTCTCTTTAGTTAGAGGATCATGAGAAAACTTGCACTTGTCCCCATGGTAGCACTTGGCTCCTGTATGATAGAACTTGCAAGGGAACTCATGTGAACCAATATTAAGGAGTAACAAGTATAACTTTTCAAATAGTATTATTTACACAAGTTTTCCCACTCACGACCCCTTTCTGCCTGATAAATTTTTATGTGACCCCAGATATATAGGTATATAAAATAGGTATAAAAATCAAATCTTTACTGGTAAATCAGCATTTACAAGTCTTGCTGAACAGGCTGATTTTCCTTTCTGTGGAGTATAGCTGAAGTATTTTATTTGCAGAGTCCACTGTAAATCCTGCATGTTGTTGCTAACAGATTTTGCAAATGGGTGATGTTGAGGGACTTTTTATTATTGCGATCCCAACAATGAGCTAATGCGACCCCATTTGGAATTGGGACCAACAGTTTAAGAAACAGCAATTTATACAATCACCACTTTGACAGGCACAGTAGGTTAGAGTAAACAGTACAATGAAATGGCTCTTCACACTGCCGTTTAAGGAATGACTGCCATTGGGCATTGCATCAATGGGTTCCCTAGAATATTTTTCTTAAAAGAGTGCACGGGATAGTTTGGAGCAGTTAACATTCTTCCACATGTTAAACAACTTCATTCCAGAGTAGATCAGTGTACAAAAAGTATTAATAATGCACATTTAAATTTGAAATATATATTTTTCTAAAAGACTCTGTAAACAAAAGGATTTCAACCTGGTACCAAAAGGAATACAGCATTAGAAACCTGTGCAAGGGCATTCTGAAGAAAAACCATCACCACAGAGCAGATTTGTTTCTTTTTTGATAGTTTCTTTTTACTACTGTCAGGAAACAAAACAGTTTTTTCCCTCAAACTTGTATTTTTAGCCACTGCAGCTTCCAGAAAAGGTGTAATAGGAAAACATGAGGTGGGGGCACTCATTTATTGTTCTTTTTCCATATTTCTTCTGCCATGCTTTAGATAGAAACTAACGGTAACAAAATAAATCCACTTTCCCTTTCTCAACTCAAATATCATATGGTGTGGTGATGGTAACAACAATGTGCATGACATATACACGTTAAAGGAATTATTACTAGTACTATTATTATTTAACCACAACATTACTAGAATTATTTTCTCAAAGGATATTATGCATGTAAATGCAGTTCTCCCCTTTGGAACAATAACCCTGTATATAAAATTTGCAGATTTCTTTTTTCTTTTCTATTTCTGCATCATGATCAAATTTACACTGATCTCCCTGTGGATATAAAAAGAGAGGTTATAGTTCCTAATGTTGAATTCATCTATTTCATGCTGAAAATGCAATTATAATATTAATAAATCTGACTCAGCATTGTCCACTTTCTATTAGCACTGTGAAAATTGAATTTTAATAGATGAACAAATAAACAAAGGTCACAAAGAGACCTCCATGTACTCCACTGCTATGGCACCAAATGTGGGTCCTATTACTTTCCCACCACTATAGTACCAAACTTAATTCCACCCTTAACTTATTGGTCCCACCATATACACTGTGTGCCTGAATTCACCCACTCAAATAGAACTACTGTAGTGTTTTCCTAGTCATATGTGTGTACCACAAGAAACACTTATTAAATAGAAGTTCAACATCCAGTTATAGATATTTGATGTACAGAACCTTATGATTACAGAATTTCAAAGCTTCATTGATACTGCTACTCATTTAACTTCCAAATTCCAATGTAATCAATCTCACTAGGTCTTTCCCCATCTCTTCATAATCCAAGCTGAATCTGACCTCAAACACAAATTCCTTCCCTTTCACCAGTCTCCTCTGCTTATCTAACTAGTTCTAATTCCCATCACTGACTAACTGTTCTACATAACAACCTTTTTAAAATCCCATGAAGATGTTTTTATCCAAAAGGTATCATAAAATTTTTATTTCTATAGTTTCATATGTAACTGTTGAATAGAGCTTGAAGACAACAGAATTGAAAACTAATTCAGTGATGATGCCACTAGGAAATAAAGTATGTATAACATTAGGCTACTAGAACAAATGTGTTAATATAAACCACCAAAACATATTTATAAACACTTTTGATTCTATATTGCTCATGTTCAATATTAAATCGGAAAGTATGCACCATTATTTAGAACTATGGTAGCTATCGTTTTGACTTTCCTTAAAGTTCCATAAGTAGCTTTCTCTAGTATCTTTTTATACTAAGGACATAAAATCGGTTTGTGATAAATCATGTGTTGGTAGTGAGAAAACTATTCAAGAAATAATTCAATACCCCAATTTTAAATAGAGAGTATAACAATATAGTCACCTTAATACACCGTGCCTCTAGGAAATATTTGCATATTTGTTTTCCTTTATGTTCCACAGTATGCTGGTTTATAAACGCCTGACTCATAGTTGGCCATTTCTTCACTGGCTTTATTTCCTAGAAAAACAAGTAACTTGTTTTAATGTGTTACTCCATAAAATATAATTGGCAAGCAAAACAGTTAAAGTATTCAAATCACTGGAAAAAAAATCAATGACTGAGATTTCCCAAAGTTTAAAAATCAAACAAATATATACATTAATTGATCCAGTTGAGAACAGGGTACTGTTGTATATCAGCCAACTGCATCTTTATGAAGAAGCAAATAAGATTTTACTAATGCAGCTACTTAGCAATGCATGATATTTACCTTGATTGTATTATCCTACATCTTATGATTCATAAAAAAAATCATAGTGCATATTGTGCATACACAATGAAATCCACTTACTACAGTCATGGTACTGAAGGCCTATCTATTCCAACTTTTACATTGTCAATCATTCCACTAAATACTTCCACAGCAATCTAAATAAATATCCCAAGCATTAACACAACAGAATCAATTTCCGCATAAGTTACCTCTTCAAGTCCTTTATTTATCCCTCTTCCCCTTCCACGGTCTTTACGCTTCAATTTCTTTTGCATGCCACGCCCTCGGCCCATACTGTAACTATTGATATTTTGCCCAGCACCTTATAAAAAGCACAAAACCTCATGATTAAAATAATTTAGAGCATAAAGATTATGTTCTGAAAATGTAACAATATTTACATATGTGTACTTATAGTGTATACATCACGTTAAAATCTCTTCCTGCAATTCATTTCAGAATTAAATGCTTTTTGAAGTAATTTCTGAGATTATAAAACAGTAAATTGTTCTAAATTCTCTTTGAGACCTTTCAGAATGAATTCTAAGTTCCAATTAAGTTCATTTCAGAAAGTAAATTTACATTTTAAAAAATATAAGAGCAAGGTATAGTTATGCTTTGAAGGAGGAAGGAATAAGATAAGAATAATGACAGAAGCAAAGTATACACCAATAAATTTTAACATCCAATTGTGATGTGGCAGCTAAAAAGTCAATGTGATTCTAGGCCGCATCAATAGCAGTATAGTGTCACTCAGACTGAGGGAAGCAATAGTACCACTTAAACATTAGAAAAACTTCCTGTTTATAAAAGCTGTTCAGAAGTGGAATATGCTGTCTCAGAAGCTAGTGGAGTCTCCTTCTGTTGGGAGCGCTTTGGTTGCATTTTCCCGCATGGCAGAGAGTTGGATTGGATGACTCTTGTGGTCTCTTCCAACTCTACATGCTCCCACACCAATTCTGCTTGTACAGATACTGGAAGCTAAGAAAATATTCAACCATCAAAAATATTCCACACCAAGAATTGGGAAAATTGCTGGCTTGTTTCCAGTGTATCATTGCTAATACTGTAAATACCACTCTGCATAGGTGTGAATTTGACTCATATAAGATTACTCTTAGATTACTTCCTTACCTTTCTGAATTCCTTTCATTCCTTGTTTCTTCATTAGTTCTTTTGAAACGGGAGAGTCTAAATCACTATTTGAACTCTCTTTAGCTTGTCTATATTGTTTCAGCTGGTCAACGAAATCCTCTTTTTCATCCTCATTATAGCCAAAGTCATCACTATAATCGTCATAGTCTTTGTTTTTTGATTTTTTTATATGCAGTGTCTTCTGCAAAGGGGTATACTTCCCTGAAATATGCCCATGCTGGATGAGACAAAACGATCATGAGAAGCACATCAGGATACAAACTGTAAATATTATCTATGCCAATCAACAGCAGTTCTCCAAGACGTAGTTTGATTGCAGATGTCAACAGGAAAAGCAAGGAAAGCAAGTGATCAACACCAGTTTTCCCTATACAACTTTAAAGGAAATATAAAATTTAACATTTGGCTGAGTCCTTGTGAAGACGGGGCAGGATATAAAGATTATATTATTATTATTATCATTATTATCTTTTGCTATGTTTCCCAATCTAGGAAAGATTTCTATCACCTCGTCTTTATTTCCCACTGCTGTAAAAGAAGAAACATTAATCTTGGGTATCAAAAGACTGAATGCTGTAGGACTGAATGCTGGAAAAGGTGTTGCTCTTTCCTCCAAGAGTATCAGCCTATAAATAATTGATTTTTGCTGTAGTGCAATTTGCTTAACTGTAATTTGCTTAACTTAAATTTAAAAAAATGGTCTATAAGGAATCTTCATACAGATAAAGGTTATTTTTGTCCTGTAACTAATGTTCTTATTAAGCATGTTCTGAACATACTTCTCTGATACATATGCATAATACAAAAACTCTAACAATAAATATTTCAACAACAATAAAACATATTTACTTGAGTCACCTACATCTAATCATATTGCCATTTTCTTTACTGTTAAAAAATCTGGAACAAGCAACAAGAAAGTGAAAGCACTGTATTTTGTATACTCATACCTAACTCCAGAAAATATAGTAAAAAAAATCAACCCAAGCAACCTGCGTAGATTTATCCACAGGTCAAAGTAAGTACTGTATCATAAGTCTTATCAAAAGGGGAAACCTTCCTTTTTTGTGCTACTGAGCAAAAGAGAACTTAATTTATATCAGAAAAACATAAAAGAAGCAGTAACTCCTTTTATTCTTTCTGCTGCAGTACCATATCTGGGCTTTTTGAATGCCTGGACAGGGAAATGGCAGTGCTAGTGACCAGGAACAGGCAACGCTAGTGCTTTCCCTCTCTGCAGAAAAATTCTTGACTTATCTTTGCATCTTATGCATAATATTGCCCCTAAATCTGCCCTTGACTTATACTTGAGGTCAACTTAAATATAGTACTAGTAAAACCCAATCTGTCATTGACTTCATTTGCAGAAATTGAAGAGTTAATGAAATCTTTCAACACTGGCATTGGAGATTTAAAGATGGGCTCAAAGCCAACCTTAAAAGCTCTGGCATAGACACTGAGAACTTGGAAGCCCTGGCCCTTGAGCACTCCAGCTGGAGGTCAGCTGTGACCAGTAGTGCTGTAGAATTTGAAGAGGCATGAATGGAGAGCGAAAGAGAGAAACGTGCCAAGAGGAAGGCGCATCAAGCCAACCCCGACCAGGACCACCTTCCACCTGGAAACCAATGCCCTCACTGCAGGAGAACATACCGGTCAAGAATAAATTGCTTTATTCTGTCTCAAAATTTTGGTAACTTGTTAAAAGGGAAAATGTGAGTCCTTTTTGCCTGTATACCTTGTATCCATTTGATAAAAGTGAAAGCAAATCAAGAAAATAAGATTATATATGGCTGGATAAAAAAAAGGGAAAACAGCATATATGCAAATTAACCAAATACAGGCCTAGAATGAAACGTTTTAAAATGTGTAAAGCATTTTTTAAAAGGATGATGATGTAGTCCAAGATAGAATTGTTGGCCTGTTACATTCATGGTCTTAACAGTTGCAAATCTGATTATTCTTGGATTATTTTCCACTACCACCATCCCTGTCATTTTAAATAGGGATTTTAAATAACACCAGTACCCATCTTGGGATGTTCTCAGTTATGTTAGGCTTAGTCAGTGACCAAATCTTTGGTCACTGGGAAAAAAATCCAACTAGGTGAACCCAGCTACACCTGCATTCCCTTGCTTACTCCCTTGAGTCGGGCAGGGGAGGGGAGTGGCAAGTGATCCATAGGTTTCCAGAGCAGATGAATAGGAGAGGGAAAGATTAGCAGGAGGGGAATGCTTGGAAACCCAGAATCTTGAAAGGCCACAACTGGAAGTGTTTGTGTGCTTCTCTGGGTCTTCCAGTGCTATTCTACGTTATGCATCTGGCCCAAACATAGCCAAAACATAGGCTCTGCTATTATCCCTGGTTACAGGTATCCATAGGTGAACTTGAGTCATGTCTCCTGAAGATACAGGGATTGTACTGTATTTATGGTTTTTCCACTTTTACAAGGATTTTGAGCCTTAACCCTTGTGATAATTGTGGGCTGACCACATATTTAAATAACAAAATTATGTCAAATTAAAAGATATACCTGAAAAGAAGACTCATAATCTCTGTAGAAACCGCCGCCTTTCTTATGGGATCTTTCTGAACGTTCAGCTTCAGAATCGATGCTATAATCAGAACTATCATCACTAGAAGGGGAATTGTGCTGAAAAGCAAGAGGTTTCATTTTATAATGTAGGCATATGAATAACTTATAGAGTGTACTTTAGACGCTACAATTAGGGTAGGAAGAAAAGGATGCCATGGGCTAAGAATGTACAGCTCAAATGATCACAAAGATTAATATATTAACACAATTAATAAAACTGAGTTACAGTTCAGCTGTTCACATATAGTGCAGTACTAGACTATCTCGTGACATGCATTCAAGATGTCATATAACTACCACCATTATAATCTATAACCTCCCTTTCCACGCCCACATCCCAAGACTGGAATTCAAGGACAGATCCATTTTTACTTATTTTTTACAGCTCACATGTGATTCTGGAAAAGCAGGAACTAGCATGCAATACATCAATTCTCTCCACACCTGTGGGATGGTTTCCACACCCGTTTAATCATCAGTGAAAGCACACAAAGGTATCACAAAGTGCAAGAATGGTTTCAAATGGATTTCAGTAAAGGAAAATAATCACTGTGAGTAGAGCTGGGAAGGCTTGGGAAAAAACTGGAAAAATGTGGAAAAAACAGTTTATTTCCCTACCTACCCCCATTTTTCCACCCAGACCTTCCCATCTCTAAATGTGAGTACAGAAGCCGACTCAAAATTCTGACCTTGTGTTTTTCTCGTCTTCTCCTCTTTGATTTTTTCTTCTCTTTCTCTTTTTTGCGCTTCTTTCGGGATTTCCTATGTGCTTTTTCAGTTTTCTGTTTATCTTCAGCTTTTGCATCTTGTTCATCCTTATCTTCCTCAAATCCCGTATCATCTATTTCACCATCCTCAAGTTCACCATCCTCTCTGTTTCATAAAGATATAGTATGAACTCAGTATGCATTTGGAAAATTAAAAGTAACAGAGTAAAGGCACAATTACCTCAAATGCAAAGTAGCTCTGTAGATTTTTACAATTTGCTGTTTAGTGAAAGATACTGCAGAGCTTATATGTAGTTTTAATAAATATCTGAATGCCATTTTAAAATTTAAGTCTCCAAACTACTGCAAAACTATGACTGAATAAAAAACCAACACATACCTAAAGCTATTAATAAACCAATAATCAATAAATTAACCAAGCATTAAAAATAACAAATAACTAATTTGTAATTAACAAATAAGGTAGAAAAGCAGTATATGATAAATTTCAATAAAGCAGTTAAAACCCAAAATAAAAAGCTGTCAAAGAAATAAAACTACATTAAACTTCACATGCAGTACCAGGCACTTGGATAATACCTTCATTGTTAAAAGTATACAAAAATACCACAAACAAAATAAGATAAGGCATCACTCTCTCCATTATGGTCAGCACTGGAAAAGATCCCTACCAACATTTCAAAAGGATTTCATCAATTTTCACCCCTATATATATATATATATATATGAATTCATATATATATATATATATGAATAATTATACATTGTGTCTAAAAATGCTACACTTACTTAACATGTTCCTGAATTTTATCCAGAACACACAACAAAATCTGCTGTCGACATCTGAACACTGACCAAGAAGGTTTTAAAGAGTGTATTTTAATATTGAGATAAATGTTTTTAATGTTTATGTATGCATACAATGAATTCTTGTCCCAGCATTGAATGTTTGATGTATATATGCTGTGCCTGAATCCCCTTCAGGGTGAGAAGGGCGGAATATAAATGTTTTAAATAAATAATTAAATAAACATTACAATTAGGCACATGAAAAACTCTGGCAAAATTCAGCACTTTCTCCCCACTTTTTTCTGAAGACTTTTCCCTTGGAAAAATGATTTATGGATTTTTTTTAGAGTGATAGATAAAATGTTTAAAGCAAAGTGTTCATATATTTATTCTAACTTTTTTTTCTAAAGCAGGAAAGCATTAATGTAAGACAATATACATCCAGTTAGAAGACAAGAACTTTTGAGTAGTTAATTAATTCAAGTCACTTATAGGGAATCCAACAGGTTGAAGGGAAAAGCAAAAGAGTGATCATCAGCTGGTTCAGAAATTATTCAGCAAATCACTAGTCCAGATTAACAAAGCTGGCAAAAAGTAAAACAAAAAACATATATCATAGCCAGTCCGAGGTAAGGAAAACGCAAAAACTGAAAAATACTTTTAGTCGCCAAGGGGGGTTGAAAGTAACAAAGCTGCCAGGTAGTAGAAGATTTATAGACAACGGTCTCCTGATATCAGGTGCCTAATAAAGTCAAAGTCTTCTACTTAATAACCAGAGAGAGTGGCACAATCTCTCCTTCTCTTTGTTGATCAATAAACTACGGCTATGAGTCTTCATCAACTGAAGCTTCGTGCTAAGGGGTAGAACCCTCTTCTGCCTCAAATGTCAAGCTCCTCAAACAAAGAAAGGTAATAGTTATCATCAGCTGCCTGGTAATGTGAAATGGTTACCAGCCATTCATTAATTCAAAGTATTGTTTGGTTAGTTTCTCCAGGGAAGTGGGTGAGAGGGGGATGTCAATCTGGACCAGTTTGTCCAAGATGTCATCCACCAAAACATCTTCACACTGATCCTGCAATGTTGTGCATCTGAGGAGCCACTGCATTTCTCTCAAAACTACAGTTTATTACCTAAACTGAAGTTTTCTGTCAAGAAAACTACAGTTTAGGTAATAGCTGCTTGTGGTTAATCTGTACTTGAAGTGAGCAGATTTACGTGCTCAAGACACACTCCAGTTTTGTTGAAGCAATTCCTCTGTGAATGTGGACTCAGATCACCCAGTTCAAAGCAGATATTGTGGGATTTTCTGCCTTGATATTCTGGGATATAGGGCTGTGTGGAAGCACCCGCAGATTCCTGACTTCCTCTTTTATATCTGAATCACCCAACTCTAGAAGTGAGTTATAATAATGTACAATATCTCATCAGTGACATTTCTGGTCTTGGTCTTTTCTTCTCAGTTTTTTTTAATGGGACTGACTACTTGATGCCTGTTTGATGCTATGCAGAACTAGTCAAGGCAAAATCAATTTCTGTTTTACTAATGTCAATGGTTTCTTCTTTTTATTATTTTCCCTCTTCTTGATGGATTCTTTACAGTTTAGAATTTAGCAACTCAATGTGTAAAAAGGTTAAGCAATGTATAGCTACTGTCCGAATAAAGAGTTTAAGTATACCAAACATTATAACCTTATACCAAACAATTATATATAATATCATTCATTTTCTTAAAGAAGAAAAATGTATTTTCAATATGGTAACAAAATTAGTATCACACATTTTCATTTTTTTAAAAAACTGTAAAAAAAAATCAATTTTCCTCCCTTGGTTTCAAAGTTTCCAGAAATTTTACAACACTATCTACAACTATATTTGTTCAGACAAATGCAAAAGAAACCTATAAGCCAACGATTTAAGCAAGTTATTTTACATCTTACAATACCCATGCAATCAAATTAAATAATAGGTTAATGTAGTCAGACCGTTCTACAGGATTAATCTACTAAAGGTCAAACCTAGAAGGAGGAAACAATTCTGCTTTTGTTACTAATTCCTCTCAGTTAAAACAGTTAGCTCATCTTCTACAAGGGCCAGATCTATATTTGCTATATCTAACTGAAAATAATATAATACATTTTATTTATTACCCGCCTCTCCTGATAGCTCGAAATGGGGTACAACAATTTTAAAAACAAATGAACAGCCCCAGTGTAAATACTGCACAGCAGATTTGTATAGTCTAAAACAACCACTGGGTGACATTTGGAAACTTTTTACTGTTGACAATTTAGGGTCAGGACCTGCAGTTGAAGAAGCAGTGCCCTAGATAATGATTGTGTCCCCGCAGTACCTAATGAGGTTACCCATAACACCTATAATTGGAGAGTTGCATATTTGTTAATGACCGACATGAACACCAGTGCTTCTTATTGTACCACTATTTTCTACATAGAACAAATGGATCAGTTTCTACACAAAATAGATTAAGATTGACATCAGAAACTCCAAGTTTTAATAAAAAATGGGGGATGAGAACGTTTCAGTCTCACAGGGCATTCTGTCTCTAATCTCAAGATATTCATTCTTGAACAAAAGAACTTCCAAAACCAATTCCAGTAAGAAACAACTGAGACAAATCACCCAAGTAGGTATCCAATTCATTCCATCTGATGAAGTGATCCATAATCCATGAAAGCTTGGTCTTTAAGGTGTCACAAAACATTGATATTTTCCTGCAACAGACTAACAATACTATCCTCGTAAATTGCTACCCAATGAGTTTAAAATATACGCAAAATTATTTTCAAGGGTTGAAGTGCACTTGAAAAATGATAAGTATCCAAAAGCCCTAGATCACATCCAAAATCTCGCTGACAGAATTCTTTTGTCAGCAGAGGGGCCTTAGTTAGATTTCAAACATTAATTAATTGTAAATTAAACATGCTATTTAAAAAGCCTCACATTAAAGGTATTACATGTTTTAATCTGATTTCTTTTAAACAAATGAATCATAAACATGCCTGTTTAAAATCAACTTTACAAAGTGTAGCGGGTAAACAGAGTATTTTGAAATGAATTTTTGTTTGCAATGAAATTAAAGAAAAAAATTATCTCCCAAAAATTATCATGCAAGTTAAGTGTTGGAGGAAAGAATTTAACTCCAATTTGAAGTGTATATGCTTAACATGTCTAGTTACTTTCAGGGAAATAGTTAACTAATAGAGAGAGTAATTTAAAAATGTAAAATCATCCTGACAAGCTTTCTTACATACAATTTTCAACAGTCATGTCTTGGGAGAAAGGCAAGCTATAAATCAATCAAACAAACAACTATTCAACTATGTGAACTCAAACTTGGAATTTGTGGTAATGCAGTACAAGAAAAGGTCAACTACCTTGCCTTCTGCTTTGGTAGGTATATCCTTGAACAATTAGTAAATCTGCTTCGGTCTGTGGGAAGGGCCAATATGAGGCTCATTATTGGACTAAGCCATACAACCTTCAGTGAATTGATTTAGTCTTTTGGCCAAGACACAGTTACTATTCCTCTGCCAATTTGAGTGGGTATTTCTCACAATGTTAACTGGGCATGAAGATCTACTTTCCCCTAATATTTTTCTGATGCACACATAGGACAAAGAACAAAAGTGGACATAATGCTGAGGACAAATCTGAGGGGAGGGGGCATATAAGGGACTTGAAAAGTGTTAATATATAAAATGTAATCAAGAGAAAAATTGAAAATAATGATTCACAGACTATTGTTATTATTGCTGTCTGCTTTCAAGTTGTTTCTTCCATATAAGGCAAACATATAATGGGATTTCCTTGGCAAGATTTGTTCAAAGGAGGTTGGCCTTTGCTTCCTTCTGAGTTTGAGAATGTGCAACTTGCCCAAGATCACCCAGAGGGTTTCCCATGGCTGAGCAGAGATTTGAACCGTAGGCTCCAGAGTCATTGTTCAGCACTCAAATACCTACACCACACTGGCTTTAGAGTCATGAATATGGAAAATGAGACCTACAAGCACCAGCTGAAAGAATTAAGGAAGAGGCCAGAAAAACTATTTAGACCATAAACAAAACTTTGTGAAGATTTTCAAGGACTACTTGATCATTAGAATATCCTCTTCTGTAGTGAGCTGTAGCAGATGACCTACTGATCACCTTCCCATATGTGCCGGGTACTATAAATATGTCTGTACAAGCAGTCCCCAAGTTACAAACAAGATAGGTTCTGTAAATTTGGTCTTAAGTTGACTTTGTAAGTCAGCACAGGTATATTTTTAAGGGTAACTCCAGCAATATATATAAGGGGGGGGGGAGCAACCTTTGGATAGAATAGGGAAGGGTTAACACCCCTGTGCTGTGTCCCTGCTCAGAAGATTTCATCTCACTTTCTATCTCTGTGATTATTTGATTTTGAAAATAGTGGCTTGTTGTGGAAATAAGGATGGGTGATAAAGCATTCAGTGGAGACATCTTTCTGCCATGGCAACTCTTTCAGGTGTGAATTTCCCTTCTGAGGGGTAGAGTTCTCTCATTGCCTGTTGTCTGACCCCCATTCTTAACTATGAGGGCTTCCTTTAATTCAATAATGAAATGTTTACCACAGAACTAGCCTCAGTAATTTGGTTGGCACAGTTTTAACTATGATATTCATTTATTTTAGATTTTGGAGGAACTGCATACATTTAATTCACAAAGTAATCTCCTTTAACATATACTTTTTTGGCCATATATAAGATTTTGAAAAGCCTTTAAACATATTTGAGGGAACTTTGCTTATAACAGAGCATGAACAACATAATTTATAAATTTCCCCTAATGACAAGCCTCAAGTGTTACATGGTACATAAAGGCTGTTTTGCACTGGACCCCAAAATGTCCTCACTTGTTCTTTATAAAATGCTACTGCTTTTTTGGCAATCATGAATTAATTTTTAAGATGATTGACATCATTTATGGAATGACAAATGCAACGACTTAGATGCAAGAATATTATCATTTCTATTACAGTGATCTCACTAATCAATTAATAGTTCTATATTTATGATGAATTTAAGGTGACATTTTCTCTTATTTAAGTTGAATTATGTCAATATCAAATGGAAGAAAAAAATCTAAGCTAGAATGAAAGAAAATCTCTTTTTAAAAAAATGGTTACCATCTTTTTACCATGAGATAAAATTAATATTTAAAAAATAAAGTTAATTTATAAATAGAACTAAATGTAGCTTTTACCTCCTATAAAACCTGATCTTGACTACTATGGTTAAGTTCTGCAATGCCATATTTCTTGTAATTAATTCTCTTTGAGAGGGTAACTTATGTGTTGCAATTCTGGCATATCACGACCTTATCCTTTCAGTCAGTATACAACCTATTACACTATATTATCATTGTGTTCACAACACTGATAATCAGAATCAGATTTAACAAAATATGAGCCACACCTATTCCTATTTTTATTTCCTGGGTGTCCAAATGACATTGTGAATTTTTATTCTGAGTCATTGGCTACTGACCCAACCCAACCTGACTTATAAATTCTCAACAAAGGAAATGCTCAGCCAATGTGTCTTCCCTATATAAAAGTTGAAATAATTGAAACACTTATCCTCCTCTTCTATACTATAGCTGACTCTCCATATTTGCGGGTTTCAAGTTTGCAGATTTAATATGTTCTCTCTAGGAATCTCTAGTTCCTCCTTTGTGATTCTGTGGAGAAATTCTTCCCAAATGTGACAACAGTCATGATGCAAGACCTAGAGCTTCCTGTAGAGGTGTTTTCTCAGGCAACAAAGAACATTTTAAAATGTGTGTTTTTTTCTGCTTTCACATGGGTCCTGCACTCCAAGGCAAGAATGAGGAAGGGTGACTGTATACAGTAATCCATGATCAGTATAGTGTTGTAGTACTGGGACAGAATGAACAGTCCAACTTCCAAACATTGAGATGGAACAAAACAGATCTCCCTCACTAACCAGGACTCTCAAAGTACAGCAAAACAAGAAACCTATTCTTCTAAAACTTTGTACTCAACATATTATGGGGGGAAACTAATTAAAAGCAATGTCTTATCTTAATTTTTTTTGCATCTTTTTGTGCCTTAGCAAAGGTAAAATAAAAAAAAAATGCCAACTAACTGCTGAAAAATAAGGCAGTAAAACTTTTTCTTGTTTTGCTCTGAACAATAAATTCTAAGTATCCAGTTTTAAAGTGACCCATCTTATTATTATCAGGACACAGGGGATTTTTTTTAAAGTAAAAATAAACATGCAGATAAGCAACGAGAGCAGTCAACTCATAAAGAAGTTACTACTTCTGCAAAGTTACATAAATTTACAAGATCCAATTCTACTTCTCAAACTACGTAGGGTCACTCTAATATAGCTCAACGTGTTTTCTGTCAGAGCAAACAAAGGAAAATGTTCTGGGTTGCGATGAAAACTTAATTTTTAATACCTACAAATTCGTTGAGTGTCTTCCTTCTACAAATGAGCATATTTTGCATGAATATAATTCTGTACTTTCTGTGAGTTTTTAATTTTAAAATAACAGTAAGTCACAGAATAATAAGCTCAAAACTAGTAATTCAGTAATGGGCAATGGCTGCTTTTAAGAATTCACTAGGTAAAGTAGGTGGCATTTATATCACTTTCTGGTAATAGTTATAATACAATACTTAGTATCCAGTCTGTAGTAAGAATCATTTCATTAACATGTTAAATGCTGCTACTTTACTTGAAGACTGCTGGTACGTAGATCTAGCTACAAGGCCCAGACCTGCTTCACTGTTACTGCGTGCAAGTCATTTTATCTCAGTCTCTTGCAGAAAGGGGAAACAGGCTATACCATAAAGTGCTTGGGGCTGCGTATATGTTTTGCATCACTGATTAAAAATCCTTTATATGATTGTGGAGTGGAATAAGTTTTTACAGGCAGACTTGTCCATTATTGGAAACATGTTACTGTGATCTAGAAAAAAAATGCATACATGTCACTGAATGTATGAAAATTATTTAAGGAGTCTCCTGTTTGAGAAACATGAAAAGTGAAATCTGTAGGAGGGAAAAAAGCCCGCTGAAAAGACAGGAGGAAGATGCAGAATCTCCAACCACAGGATGGGTTTGGGGGTTTGTTGGTTTAGGATTGAAAAGTGGCAGAGATAACATCGGATACAAACTCACCTACACCCCTCCCCCTAAATCTACTTAAATGTGTAAGGTGTCGACATTTACATGTAGCTTCATGTATACCACAAGGGAGGAAAACACAACTGTTTTTGATTTCAAATGGGAGTGAGGAAAGAGGAACAATGGTGACATTATACAGACACCCACTGCGTGCGTTGTATGAAAAGATGGATTTTTTTTCCTTTTTACAGAATGAAATGTAAAAAAATGCATGCAAAATGCTCTTTGATCAAACATCCTTGTATCTAGATTTATTATTTTTTCCCCTCTCTATTAAATACATATCAACATCACTGTTTTTTTTCTCCAGGCTGAAGGTGACTTCTCCCTCTACCCTCCCCATTACAATGCTACAGACATTATTATTTTTTTCCTCCCCTTTTGTTTCTTAAATCCACCAAGGCACAATTTACGACATTATTATTATTATTACTATTATTATTACCACCATCATCTCACAGCATATCGTCATTTCTTATCGCCATTGAGAAGCGGAGAAGAAAGAAAGAGAGAAGAAGGGTTACTCGACCTTTCGTCCCCTGCATGTTGCCTGTCAGAGTCGGGCATGTTTTGGTCAAGAATTGGGTTTGGGGGCTTGGAGAACAAGCTTTCAAAGGCCATTGTGCTGGCTCTGGCTGTGTGTGAGGAGGAGGAGGAAGGAGGAGAGAGGGAGGAAGGCAGGGCACTGCTGCTGCTGATGCCTGCCAGTGGTTGGGGAGGGAGGGAAGGAAGGAGGGAGGAGGCGCAATCACACACACAACATGCACACACACAAACCACATACACAAGCAGGCAGTCGAGAGCGCGCACAAAGCTGCAGCCTCGCCAAGAGAAGAGTGGAGAGTCCTCCTTCCCTTCAAGATACAGGGGGAGAACAATCCCACATAGATACACACACACAAAGACCTGTGGGGGGGRAAAAGGAGACACAAAATGTCAAGGGACAAGCTTTCTTCCTCTCTCACAGGGAAAAAAGGGGCAAGAGAAGAGTGGAGAAGTCCTCCTTCCCTTCAAGATCCAGGGGGAGAACAATCCCACATAGATACACACACACAAAGACCTGTGGGGGGGAAAAAGGAGACACAAAATGTCAAGGGACAAGGCTTTCTTACTCTCTCACAGGGAAAAAAGGGGCAATCACACATCAACAAAAAAGAGACTGGGCAGAAAGGGAACTAGCCAAGAGAAGAGTGGAGAGAGTCCTCCTTCCCTTCAAGATCCAGGGGGAGAACAATCACACATAGATACACACACACAAAGACCTGTGGGAGGGGAAAAAAGACACAAAATGTAAAGGGACAAGCTTTCTTCCTCTCTCACAGGAAAAAAGGGGCAAGAGAAGAGTGGAAAAGTCCTCCTTCCCTTCAAGATCCAGGGGGAGAACAATCACACATAGATATACACACACACAAAGACCTGTGGGGGAAAAAAGGAGACACAAAATGTCAAGCTTTCTTCCTCTCTCACTGGGAAAAAGGGGCAATCACACACTAACAAAAAAGAGACTGGGCAGAAAGGGAACTAGCCAAGAGAAGAGTGGAGAGTCCTCCTTCCCTTCAAGATCCAGGGGGAGAACAATCACACATAGATACACACACACAAAGACCTGGGGCGGGGGGGGGGACACAAAATGTCAAGGGACAAGCTTTCTTCCACTCTCACAGGGAAAAAGGGGCAATCACACACCAACAAAAAAGAGACTGGGCAGAAAGGGAACTAGCCCATCATCGCATTGCTTTTTGTGAACCCCAAAATGGTGAAAGTGTCCTTTTTCCTCAAGGTTTCATGGAATGGGAGAATACCACACACAGGCACACAATAATGGGCCTATCACTTTGGAAGGCTGAAATGCCCCCTCTCCCCTTTCCAAATTTCTTTCACACTCACACCACACACACACAACATGAAAGCCCACAAATATATATATATGATATCAAAAGAATAGCCTTATGGAAAATGTCCTTCTTGCCCGCACAAACCCAAAAAAAAAAAAAAAAAAAGAAGGGCCCAGGCCAAAAATGGCGCAGACAGGGCTCCAAGGCACCCCTCCCTTCCTTCCTGAGGGAGGAGGGATTAGACCACATCCATTTTACACGCACGTCCACATCCAACAGGAGAAAATGAAGGGAAGGAAGGGAAGGGAAGGAGGGACAAGGAGAGCTTGAGCAGCTGCTGCTGTTTGCTATGTCTTCCTGACAAACATGGCGCCCGCCCGTTTGCCTGTGTCCTTCCTCCACAGAGAACAGAGAGACAGACAGAGAGAGAAAGCGAGTGAAATGGCGCGCGCGCGCTCTCGGGATGGGAGGGCTCACAAGATGGCGCCGGCGTCGCTCTCTCAAATAAACGCCGAGCAGAGAGGAAAGGGCGGGAACAAGCCAGGCCCCAACCGCCGCCCGCCAAGCCCAAGCCGCCTTTGGCTGCGCACGCTCCCGCTTGCTCCTCCTTCCTTCCCCATTGGCTGCGCCTCTCTGCGCTCTCATTGGTCCGCGTCCCCCGAAAGGGTAAAAGGGGATTGGGCGGATCGGGTGCCTCTCACAAGGCCCGCCCTTGGGAAAGAAAAACAGGAGGAGGAGGAGGCAGGGGAAAAGGGCGGGTTGGCCTTCAGTAAAGGGGAAAAAGGGAAATAAATAAATATCCCTCATCACACTACAAATTCCAAGATTCCCTAGATCAGTAGTTCTCAACCTTCCTAATGCCGTGACCCCTAAATAGAGTCCCTCATGTTGTGGTGACCCCCAACCATAACATTGTTTTCCTTGCGACTTCATAACAGTCATTTTACTACTGTTATAAACCATAACAGCGCGCTTGGTGGGGATGCGGGACAGGGCCTTTTCCGTAGTGGCCCCCCAACTCTGGAACACCCTCCCCAAAGACCTTAGACAGGCCCCTTCATTGGCTATTTTCAGAAAGAACTTAAAAACCTGGCTTTTCCGATGCGCCTTCCCAGATTAGGAAATCTCCACTACTGAGTCCCATAAGCACTTTACCAGAACCAATGATTGCTGCACACCGCACATCGCACTTGCCCTAGAACCCCTTTATACACCTGTCAAATCAGCACTTTTAATCCTTGTACCCACCTTTTGGCCCGGCCCAGTTTTATTGTGTTTTAATGTACTGTGCCTGTTGTTTACTTTGCTTATTTTGTTTTAATTGTTTGATTTGCTTGATTGTATTGTGATGTTGTGTTGTTGAGGCCTCGGCCTGTGTAAGCCGCATCGAATCCTCTGGGAGATGCTAGCGGGGTACAAATAAAGTTTAATAATAATAATAATAATAATAATAATAATAATGATGTAAATATCTGATATGCAGGATGCATTTTCATTCACTGGACCAAACTGAGCACAAATACCCAATACACCCAAATGTGAAAGCTAGTGGGGTTGGGGGAGGACTGATTTTGTAATTTGGGAGTTGTAGTTGCTGGGATTTATAGATCACTTATAACCAGAGAGCATTCTGAACTCCACCAGCGATGGATTTGAACCAAACTTGGCTCCCATGACCAATGGAAAACACTGGAAGGGTTTGATGGGCATTGACCTTGAGTTTGGGAGTTGTAGTTCACCTATATCCAGAGAGCACTGTGGACTCATGCAATGGTGGATCTGGACCAAACTTGGCACAAATACTCAATATGCCCAAATGTGAATACTGGAGGAGTCTGGGGAAAATAGATCTTGACATTTGGGAGTTTTAGTTGCTGGGATTTATAGTTCACTACAATCAAAGAACATTCTGAACACCAACGATAGAATTGGCTCAAACTTCTGACATGGAATCCTCATGACCATCAGAAAATACTGTGTTTTCTTATGGTCTTTGGCAACCCCTCTGACACCCCTTCGCGACCCCCTCAGGGGTCCCGACCCCCAGGTTTAGAAACACTGCCCTAGATGATGGACATGGCTATTCAGAGCCCCCCACACACCTGTATAACATCCAGATTGAACTGGATTATATGGCAGTGTGGACTCCCAATAACTCAGCCCCCTTCCACACAGCTGTATCAAATCCACACTGTCTGCTTTGAACTGGATTATATGGATTCAGGGCCCTTCCACACAGCCATATAACCCAGAATATCAAGGCAGAAAATCCCACAATATCTTCTTTGAACTGGGTACTCTGAGCCCACACTGCCATATTGGTTGCCTTCGAAGCAGAAAGTGGGTTTTTTTATTCAGCTGTGTGGAAGGGGTCTCAGATAACCCCAGTTCAAAGCAGACATTGTGGATTTTCTGCCTTTATTGCAGAAATTAGTATAAAACTGATAAAAATAGAAGGAGTGCAGGCGGCGAAATATCCTTTGACCAAAAATGGGGAACAGCAATGGCATTGTCTGTAGCCTCCAAGAACCCTTTCTCTGTACGTGAGGCAGGGCACAGTGGACAAGCATAAAAAGTGCGGTGTTGTCTGTTCTGCTCCACAGTCACACAAGGTGTGGGATTCTTATAGGTAATGCCATTTTGCCAAGTTGTCTTTTGATCTGCCCACTCCACTTCTGAGTCTGTTCAGGGACTTCCAAGTTGCCCATTCTTGGTTTCCCCCTGGGGGAAGACCCTCCCTCATGGCCCTCCAGTTGGGATCTCCTGGTTTAGCTGCCCAGAGGGATACCCTTGCTGCTGCTGCTGGGGGGGACACCAAAAGGAGTGGTAGTTCTCATAAAGCGTTTCCTTGATTTGAGTCTACTGGGAGAAGGCTGGTAGTCATGTAGTGGGTGGCTTTCACAGTGTTCAACCTTATTTCTCTTATTTTTTCTGCCTTGATATTTCTGGGTTATATGGCTGTGTAGAAGGGTCCTCAGTTCAAAGCAGATGTTGGGCCCTTCCACACTTCCCCTATATCCCAGGATCTGAACCCAGACTTTCTGCTTTAAACTGGATTATATGAGTCCTCACTGCCAGATAATCTGGGATAAACAGAAAACCTGGGATCAGACCCTGTCTAGAAGGGCCCATTGTGGATTATCTGCCTTGATATTCTGGGTTATATGGCTGTGTGGAAAAGCCCCGCTGGGCAAAGATCAAAGAAAAGACTCTGATGGCACACTCATTTCCCATAGACATTGTATCCGCGTCGTATCTTGGACCTTTCCTTTGTCTACACATCATAGGAAGGTGTCTGGGGGACCCAACATCCAATACTCAGTATCTGCATAATCCCATCATTCATCTTTCTGGACTCATTTTCATTGAGGGCCACATCAACCTTAAGGTTGCCTCCAAAGGGCCATTGAATTAATGGATGAAGAACCTGCAGATACAACGGACCAACTGCAATTTTTTTACATAGTGGTTGATGCTCTTTAGTTTTTGCCCATTTCAGGTCCTGAGATGTTTTTGAATGACAACTCCCATCACTTTTGGTTCTACCATTTATTTATTTAGATCATTTATACCCTGTCCTATTTCAACCTCTACAGAGGGACTCAGGATGGCTAACAACAACATAGACATATTAAATAAAAACTGTATAAAACATCATAAAAACCATCGCCAATTTAAGTCGTCATCTTAAGAACAGTCCATCAGAGTCCATTAAAACCATAGCTTTGCCATCAAAACCATCTAGTCCGCAAAGGCCTGATCCCACAGCCAGGATTTCACTTTTTTATTTAAGTTAGAAGGGATGGAGTGGATCTGATTTCACTTGGGAGGGAATTCCATAACTGAGAGGCCACCACAGAGAAGGCCCTGTCTCTTGTCCCCACCAGCCACGATTGCGATGGTGGGGGGACAGCAAGCAGGGCTTCCCTGGATGATCTCAAAGTCCTTGGTGGTTCGTAGCAGAAGATACATTCGGACAGGTAAACTGGGCCAGAACCGTTAAGGGCTTTATAGGCCAAAGCCAGCACTTTGAATTGTGCTTGGAAGCTAATAGGCAGCCAGTGGAGCTGGCATAGCAAGGGTGTTGTGCACTCTCAGTGTCCCGCTGCTGTGAGCAGCCTGGCTGCCAAGCATTGGACTAACTGAAGCTTCTGAACAGTCTTCAGAGGCAACCCTACGTAGATTGCGTTGCAGTAATCTATTCGGGATGTAACCAGAGCATGGACTACCGTGGCCAAGCCTGACCATACAGACTGGGGATAATTGGGTATTGCAACTTATCAGCGCTTGTGATTCTGATGACATTTTTAAGTCAGACATCCTGTCTACAAAGTCTTGTGTTTTAATTCAAATACCACTATCCTGACTGAACAGAACAAACTGCAGCCTTCTGGGTGTTCCTATATCACAACTTCCATCA